AAGAGGTTAATAAAGTTAGAAACAAGGGAGGTGAAAGATCCTGTGAGAAGTATGTCATCGATATAGAGAAGAACAATAATAGATCCATAATTAGTGTGAGAAATAAATAAAGATAGCTCATCCATGCTACAAAAGAAACCATATTTAATAAGAAATGAATTAAAGCGATCAAACTAGGCTCGAGGTACTTGTTTGAGGCCATAAATAGCCTTTTGGAGCTTGTATACATGGTTTGGGGAGTTAGGATTAGTTATTCCAGGGGGTTGTTCCATGTATATATTTTCAGAGAGAACACCATGTAAAAAGCATTTTTTACGTCAAGTTGATGAATATGCCATTTTTGAACAAGAGCAATAGTGATGATTAATCGAATGGTTCCTGACTTAATTATTGGAGAAAATGTTTCAGTATAATCCACTCCATCAACTTGATGGTAGCCTTTTGCAACAACTCGAGCTTTGAGGCGATCTAGAGATCCATCTGGTTTGAGTTTTGATTTAGAAACCCATTTAGAGCCAATGACATGCATATTAGGAGTTCGAGGAACAAGTTGCCAAGTTTGATTTTTGTGTAAAGCCTCAAGTTCTTCATACATGGCAGCCTTCCACCCAGGATGGGACAACGCTGAACGAATGTTGTGTGGGTTGCGTGGGATGTTCATAGAGGAGGTAGAAAGTAATGCATATTTTGGATTAGGCTTTACTATTCCACGCTGTGAACAAGTAACCATTAGATGCAAGGGTAGATCTTGTGGTTGTTGGGTTTGTGTCGATGAGACAAGCTCATTTGAAGAAGTTGAGGTAGAAGACCCAAATTCAAGCACATGTTCAAGTTGTGAAGGTTGTGCAAAGTACTCATGGTGCTCAACCTCAGGGTGTGGGGTTTGGTCCAGTTGAGTGATAGACTCATGTGTGGCGCCAAGTTGATCTAGAGAGGATGTTAAAGGATTGGTAGAAGGGAGAGAATTTGCAAGGGAAAGTGTGTAGTAGGAGAGTGTAGTAAGGTTATTGGTAGAAAACTTAAGCATGGTGAAGTAGACGGAGAGGCTGGAAAATCTGCACAAGAGTCAGAGTTAGTGTGAGGTAGGCAAGAGTCAAAAATACTAATGACAGGTTTTGTAGTAGGGGGAGCATTATTTCGGCTAGTAGTCTTCTTATATGGAAATATTAATTCATCAAAAACAAAATGTCAGGAGATGAAAAATTTCTTACTAGGAGGATGAAAACACTTATATCCTTTATATTTATCACTGTATCCAACAAAGACATAAAGAGTAGTTTTTGGATCAAATTTGTGGCGTCGAGTGTCCCAGGTGTAAGGGAAACATTTAGACCCAAACACTCGAAGTGAAGTGTAGTTAAGGTGTGTTCCATGCAAAGCAAAATATGGAGTTTCAAAATTTAGGGAAGATGATGGAAGTCTATTAATCAAGTAGACAGTTGTAGTAAAAGCTTCGACCCATAGAAACAAAGGAGCACCACTATGAAACAACATGGTCATACCTAGTTTGCGTATTATTCTATGTCTCCTTTCAACCATACTTGTTTGTTATGGGGTGTATAGATAGGAAACTTGATGAACAATACCCGTTAAACTAAAATAATTTGATAATTTAGAGTTGATAAATTCACCTCCTCCATTGGAATGAAAAACCTTTATCTCTTTGTTAATCCACGTATACTTAGAGAAATCATCAACCAAGCATGCATAATATTGAAATTTACCAATAGATAAAATTGGGGCAGGTCCCTACAAGTCACAATGTATTTTTTCAAAGATAGTAGAACTAGAGTGTTTAGAAGAAGAAAAAGGTAATTTATTAAGTTTTCCCAATTGACAACTATCACAAAGATGTCCAGATTTTACTTTTCCTACTACATCAATTAACCCTTTATTCTTTAACAATTGTAGAGCTATAGTTTGAGGATGTCCTAGACGTTGATGTCAAGTGTCTGCTGATCCAGATTTGAAACAATGAGAGTAATGCAATTCAGGTGAGGGAGAAAGTACATATAAATCACCCTTGCGCCTCCCTGTGATCATTGGTTTCCTTATTTCTCGTTCCTTAACACAAAAATTAACATTAGAAAAATCACAATTAACAGAAAATTACTTTGTTAATTGACTTATAGAGAGTAGATTCTTTGTTAAGGAAGGAACTAGTAAGACATCATGAAGGGGTGGAGTAATATTCCTTTGCTTGATGAAGAAGTATCTAGTACCAAGAATTGGTAGAGAAGAACCATCACCAATAAGGACAAAATCTGTACCTAAATATTTTTGGATGTTATTAAGCATACTCGATTTACCTGTCATATGATTGGAGGCTCCAGTGTCATAGGTTTATTCTGTTTCAGCTATTGTGTTATGTAGGGTGAGTGCAGCTAGAGCTTGTGGTATATCATCAGATTGAGCTGGCTTTTTAGGCACCCACCAACATATTTTTTCTATGTGACCCATTTTGCCATAATACTGACACTTTTCATTTAGATATAGCTCACGTTCTATAGATCTCATACAGTGTTCTCTCGACGACGGGGGACGAGACTACTGAGCGGTCATGGTAGAGTGAGTTCGAGTTTGATTACTTGGTGTTTGGGCATGAAATCCTTTCCTGGTTGATGTGAAAGATTGAGAAATCCCACGATGTCGTGAAGAAGACTGGTGAGATCTTTATTGGTGCTGGCCATAGAAATCCATGTGAGAAGTAAGTGAGTTTTGCATATTGGTGTGGCTAGAGAACCAACTGCATCATTGATCAAGGCTCTGGAGTTATAAGATCAGTTCAGAGTAAGATGGCCTTGGAGGCTTTAGCATTGTTGTTGTGAATGTTTCATACTCAGGACCAAGGCTAGTGATGAGATAGAAAACTTTTTCCTTATCTGGGATAGGTTTCCCAATAGCTGCTAAGTTATCACATAGGCCTTTAAAGATGTGAATGTGTTCTTTGATAGTGCGATCATCCTCCTTGCGGAGATATGTAATATGTTGACGGAGCGTGAATTCATGTTCTTGAGAATCTTTCGCATATGCATCCTTAAGTGCATCCCAAACTGCATGAGACGTGTCTAGGCCAACAACGAGACCAAGAGCTTCTTTAGAAAGTGTTTTGATTATCCATCCTCGAAGGAGGTGATCTGCCTTGCACCAGGTGACAAATTCGTTAGTTAATTTTGGGGTGAATATTTCTGAGTTTTAGTGTTATTGGAATCTAGAGTGGTGTATTGAGTAGGGGCAGGATCTTCATTTGTGAGGTGTCCGACCAAATCTTGGCTTTCTACAAGTGCTAGAGCTTGTTCACGCCACAATGGGTAGTTTGTTGGTGTGAGTTTGAGGGTGATGAAATTACCAACATTGAGAGATAAAGATGTCATGGTGTTCACAAAGGCTCTTGATACCAAGAAGAAAATTGGTAAGTAAATGAATTCAATATTTCATAAAAATAGAAACATGAACACTAACATAGAACAAGAGGGAGAGAGGATAAATATATTACAGATGGTGATAAAGGCTGATTTCTAAATAAGGTACCAAATGATGCTACATTATTTGAAATAAAACAATCCTAATTATAGCTGATTTGTTGCACCATGTTTCCTTAATAGTGATGGAGTTGTTCTGATTTGTAGCAATTTGTTTCCTTAACAAAACAATCTTAATTATAGATGATTTGTTGCATTAGGTTTCCTTAATAGTGGCTGATTTGTTTTTATTTGTAGCAATTTGTTTCCTTAATAATAGTTGATCCTGTTTGCTCCTTATCTGTCAATTTAATCCCATAAATTGTGTCTTGCTTGATATTGTTAATAATAAGCACCTCCACTTTTTGAAAGAGGTATGTTCCCATAAGTAATATTGGTCCAATAAGCTGCTTCTATAAAGCAGTTTCACATAACAAGAAAGGTTGCTTTAGCAAATAACGGAAAATGGTTTTTTTTTCAACTTTCATACTACATCAACCAATTCCAATAGAAGTTTCTAGTAAGCTACGTTGCTTACTCACAAGTAGAGCTGTCAAATCGGGCCAGCTCAGCCCACCTTGATCCACTTTAAAAATGGGTCAACTCAACTTGGTCCACTTTTGATTTTCTCAAAATTTTTCTGGCTTAGCCCACCACGGATTGGTGGGTTATACGAGCCATCCCACCAGCCCACCAAAAACTAAAAAAAATTATTAAAAAAATTCAAAATTTTAAATTAATTATAAATTAACATAATAGTCATAAAATTATCATCATTAATAGCCATAAGTCATAACTCATCATACAAAATTAAACACAAATCATGATAAAAGTCTAAAATAAAAATTTTCAATATCCCATCATACAAAATTAACTACAAATCATAATTAAATTTTCATTGAAAAAAGAATTAGTGGGTTGATGGACTGCCCGAGCCACCACGGGTTCAACCCAGGTGGGCTGAGTGAAAGTGGGCTAGGTTTAGATATACTCACCTATTATAAAACTTCCATTTTTTTAGTCAGACCCGATCCGTTTTCAAGGTGGGTCAGGTTGGTTTATGGGTCATAACCCATTTTGACGGCTCCACTCGCAAGCAACAATTCAAGCAACTCCCGTTAGAATTACTCTTATCATATCTCTTAAAATATATTATAAGTGTGAAAGAGTGGGAGAAAAGTGAGGCACATGATAGAGAGGGGAGAGAAATGCAACACAGAGGAATGGAAAAGAGTAAACGGAAACTATTTTGGCCGAGAAAGTTCATAGTGATATGTGATCACACAATGAAAGAGAATAAATTTTCTAATTTTTTTAAGCTTTAGGCTTTATTTGAAATCTTTCCATTTTGTTTTAAAAAATACCTTTCAAAACTTTCACTATTTTGATTTTTTTAAAACTTAATATCAAACAAATTATTTCGATATGTAATATTTGAAACCCACTTTCAGCTTTAATACGTATAACATTCGTGTCAGTATCTTTTAAATGTATCTAATAAAGTTCATTTTGAATCGAATAAAATGACTAACCAGCAAATACCATTGAAGTATTTGGCCCGACAAAAGCTTCGGGATTAGATGTAATAATAATTGAAACCATTTTACACAAAAGTGGTGACAAATGTACGCAGTAGTTAAGTGGATAACTTCAAAGCCAATAAAAGATATTAAAGACTCGCGAAAGTACTAACAACACTGATCCTTATTAGCTTTGCTTAGTCTCTTGTGAACTCTGGTTCTGCTCTTGTTGGCCTACTACACTCGTTCCCATCAGTATTAGTAATATAAGCAGTACCTGAACTCAATTTCTTTATCTTTCTGCTAATACGAAGCAAATTGGAATATTTTAAAATGCAAGCTACAAGGAAGAAATGATGAAGCCAGATTTTGAACCACCCTTGGTAGGTTGGATGTGATTGTTAAGCACGTTGTCCAGCTCCTTTACAAACCTCTCCATGGCTTCAGATGGCAAACAAACCGGAATCACCAACCCTTCCTCTCCTTTAGCATTTTTAAAGGGAATGTAAAAGCTAGCAACACCAGGTATGGCTCCAACTCCTCCCTTCGCCGGTCCTCCATAGACAGCCTTTCCCCACCCAAAGTCAACTTCTCCGAACCCAGCACGCGTCACATCCGACACAAGATACGACCTCACCACGGTAAAGTGAGGTCGTCCGTTGGTGACCATTAAATCCGCCAACGAGTGCATATATTCCTCACTCACATCCGCTTTCGCTTTCCTCACCAACTCCAAAGCATATCCCAACGGATTCTCACACAGATTCCCCGCACTAGTAACTGCCACGGGAAACGCAAAAGCATTGCCGTAGTAACCGGTTGGTAAGGGAGGGTCAAACTTGGCACGGGCGTTAACGATGCAGAGAATGCGAACCTCTTCGTCTCTTTCAGGCTGCAGCGCTATGGTGCGGCAGCGCCAGAGGCATGCGGTGAGGAGCTCGAAGTTAGAGCATTGGCGTTGGTGAGGCGGAATGAGATGGCGAATGGCGGCGACTTCGGTGGGGCCGAAGAAGAAAGAGCGGTGAGCCATGTCGTCTAAGGGGATGATGGTTCCTTTGGTGTCGGGCACTTGTTCGTACTCGCGGTGGGTGCATGTCACTCTTGGTGGGTCCCTCGCGTTTAGAAGCTCTCTCCTCCACACAGGTAGGATGGAAGGTTGGTGCATCCCGCGTGCTATTTCGCCTAATGCGCTCATGAATTGGACCAAACCTGCTGCGTCGCTCATAGTGTGGTTCAGCCGGAGAGCCAGAATGAAGCCGCCGCACTTGAGACGCGTTACCTGCACCCATTCCAATTCATGTTTGTAACCATATGGATGTTTTCATAAATGAAAAATGAAAAAATAAATATTATGTTTGACAAATTTAAAAAGAATATTATTTGATTACACTTTTTAAGTATATACTTCCTCCTTCTTTTTTTTATAGTGATTTTCTCGGAGTTTGTTATTTTTTTTCTTCGTGATATTACTAAAATTAATGAGTTATTATTTTTATTTTTTTATTTTTATTCTTGATAATTAATACATATTTCCTGAACAATATAATATGTGTATTTATTTTTAATGTCTACCTAATTTTTTTCTAACTACTCATATAAAGTTAATGTGCATTTATAAGAGTAATATATTTCCAATAAAATACTATAAAAAAACAAAAAAAAGGGACAACTATTTAATGGAGTAGTTTAACAGTCTAAAAAATGCAAAAAAAAAAATTAAGGGTAAAATAGAAAAGTAAATAATAAATATTTTTAAAAACTAAAATATCAATGACTTCTTTAAATCCCGTGCAAAACCTTAAACGAAAAAAAAATGGAGGGAATATATATATATATATATATATATATATTTATATTTATATTTATCATGCAGTATTAGTATACTCTCCTTGGGAAAGATTATCCCATTTAGGATTTTTTTTTATTAGATTCCGGGATTCGAACTCAACTCCAATATTAATCGGACCAATGTCATTTTTAGTATTCAAAAAGGGTAATATTACAGATATAATAAAAATTGTACAATAATTTTTACAACTTTATTTTTATGTTTATCTCTTCTTTCATTAATAATATTTTCTTTTTAATACTGTGTGTTATAATATAATTACTTATCATAAATTTTAAATATAATTGATATATTTAAAAATATTTATTTATATAAATATAATTTATATATTTAAATATAATATTTATATTTATATTTAATTTATTATAAAATTCAGTACATATAATAAATATTTAATTTATACATTATATATCTTAAGATATTAATCTTATTAAAAATGTAAATTATTTTAATAAAATTATGTGAAAAATATTATTTTTATTGTTATCTTTTATCTATTAATAAAAACTTTAAACTATGATTATGATGTGACCGGAGGAAATAATGATCATTCATGTCATTATTAATAGTATATCTTTTGTTTTTTTATATCACCTCACCCATCAATGTTTTGCTTTCTCCTCCATTATTTTTTTGATTTTTTTTTACACACAGCTTTTCGAAAGGGAAATGCTGTATCCTCCAAAACCAATGAATCGAAAAATCTTGCGATCATTTAAAAGTTCAAAATTTGTCAATTAATTTAATATGAAAATCATAATTTTTAATATTAACGACTTTTTAAGCATTCGAAAGATAATTCAGTACTTGTAGCATATTTCTTTTCGAAATCGTGTTTATACAGTACAACACTTTCCTTTAAATAGTTGTGGTCAATTTCGCTCTTGGGATTTGAGCAATTTGAATATGTGTTTAAGTGTCAATAGACAAATTGAAGAGGAAAAACGACGAGTCAGATCCAATAAGCTCAACCATAATAATAGTTTGTAAGTTTAAATATGTTTTTAATTCTCAAATTTAGGATAATTTTGTTTTTTTTAATTTAAAATTATTATTTTTATTCTCTATAATTTTAAAAAAAAATTATTTTAATTTTTGTATTTAAATTTTGTTAAAAATTTATCAAATATTATTACATAAAATTTATTTATTAGTGTTTTTATTTATGAAAATATCACATTAAATTTGATTGATATTATATAATTATCTTAATTAATCATTTTTAAATATGTTATTGGTAATCTAAAGGACTAAAACAAAACTTTTAAAAATTACATGAACTAAAAAATAACAGTTTAAATTTAAGAGATCAAAATCAAATTTATCTTAAATTTGAACATATTTAAGTCTAGTTTGTAATAATAAAATTATGGAAAATTAAGAATATTTAATATATACGAGATGCATAACAAAAAAAATACATTTTATTTTAAAAAGGAAGGATAACATATGAACTTAATTTTCATTATGAAAGGGGCGTGGTTAAAAAACATTAATAATTTTGTGAAAATGTCTTATTTCTTATTTTAATAAGAAATGAAATAATGTAATATTTTATAATTAATTATAAAAATAAAATATAAAAATTTCAAATTAAATATTTCCGATTAACACGTGCTAGATCTAAGTTTAAATTTACCTCATAAATAAAAATTGGTAAATGAAAGCATAAATATCCGAATAGTTTTACTTAAGTAGATTTATGCGGAATAGATTGAAAGTAACAGTAATTTAATAGAATCTTTTGAAAACATAGGAAGGAAAATAATGGGACAAAAATCAACTAGAGCCTTTACTTATCACCTTATTGTTATAAGGGTATGTTTAGATAAATAAAAAAAAAAAAAAACAGAAGTATTTTTGGAAGCGAAATATAAAAAAAATGAAATAAATTTTATCATAAATTAAAACTAGTTTGACTTTTTGACCAAAGTGGGGTCGTTGACCAACTTATTTACGTAAATGGGGCTCTTTTGAAAGTATTTACGCCTTTGGGGCTGTTTACAATGGTGTCGCTATGGCCCATAGCGACACCCATGCCACGTGGAATTTTTAAACTTCAGGAAACCCATGAAAGCCATATTGATAATGTCGCTATAACTCATAGCGACACAAAACGGCTTCAATGAAGTCGCTATAGCCTACAGCGCCCCATTTTTAATATTAAAAAAAATATAAAAAAAATAAGTAAATAGTTTTTTTAAAAAAAATACGAATTTGTGAAAGTGGCGCTATGGCCTATAGCGACACTATATAAATCTATATTTATATATTTATCTTTTCTGTATTTTCTTTATTAAAAGGAAAAAATAATTAAAAGGAAAAAAATATTTATAAATAAAATGGAATAAAACAGAAATTTAAAAATAAAACTTGAAAAAAATTAATAATATAAATAAGAATAAAGAAAATAAAATAAATAATTTATAGAAATTAAATAAATTTTTATAATAACAGAAATATAAAATTAATATTTTAAATAAATTAATAATATAAAATTTGAAAAGAAAACAAAAAAAAAAAAAACAAGTCGCTATGGCCTATAGCGAATTTTCGGCGCTATAGGCTATAGCGACTCCTGAGCGCTATAGGAGGATTCAATATTTTCAAATTGTAATACGTGTTGTTTTGAGAGAGATTGCATATGGAAAAGAGATACTGAAATGCGTTTGGAGATATGAGAGAGTGATGCAAGGTAGCGACTGTTGGAGTTCAAGTGTGAAGTGAAGTCCCACATTGGTTAGAGTTGGGCATGTTGAGTAATATATAAGTGAGAAAGACCCACCTACCTAATGCCTTAAGGTTTTAGGTTATGTTGTGGTGTCAAGCTCACTTGTGTGACTTACTCACTACTCACTATGTGGAATGCTCCCCAGTGTTCTAAACTCCCCAACATTGGTATCAGAGCCGATGGTTCGACCAAGTGACTGGTGATCGGCTCAGACGAGTATTGGTTGGATCTAAGAGTGGGATCCTGAATGGAATTGGCAGGAGATCCAAGAGTAGGATCATCCCTTGTACTGAAAGTCTCCCTAGAGGTGTGGAGGAGGTGTGTCGTTGAAGTGCAACGATAGTGCAAGTAAGGCCACCATTAAATACTCGTGGACGAAAGAAAAAAAGCTTCTGCTTGAGGAGGAGTGTGACCATGTGGAAGGGATTCACACTTGAGGGGGAGTGTTGGAGTTCAAGTGTGAAGTGAAGTCCCACATTGGTTAGAGTTGGGCATGTTGAGTAATATATAAGTGAGAAAGACCCACCTACCTAATGCCTTAAGGTTTTAGGTTATGTTGTGGTGTCAAGCTCACTTGTGTGACTTACTCACTACTCACTATGTGGAATGCTCCCCAGTGTTCTAAACTCCCCAACATTGGTATCAGAGCCGATGGTTCGACCAAGTGACTGGTGATCGGCTCAGACGAGTATTGGTTGGATCTAAGAGTGGGATCCTGAATGGAATTGGCAGGAGATCCAAGAGTAGGATCATCCCTTGTACTGAAAGTCTCCCTAGAGGTGTGGAGGAGGTGTGTCGTTGAAGTGCAACGATAGTGCAAGTAAGGCCACCATTAAATACTCGTGGACGAAAGAAAAAAAGCTTCTGCTTGAGGAGGAGTGTGACCATGTGGAAGGGATTCACACTTGAGGGGGAGTGTTGGAGTTCAAGTGTGAAGTGAAGTCCCACATTGGTTAGAGTTGGGCATGTTGAGTAATATATAAGTGAGAAAGACCCACCTACCTAATGCCTTAAGGTTTTAGGTTATGTTGTGGTGTCAAGCTCACTTGTGTGACTTACTCACTACTCACTATGTGGAATGCTCCCCAGTGTTCTAAACTCCCCAACATTGGTATCAGAGCCGATGGTTCGACCAAGTGACTGGTGATCGGCTCAGACGAGTATTGGTTGGATCTAAGAGTGGGATCCTGAATGGAATTGGCAGGAGATCCAAGAGTAGGATCATCCCTTGTACTGAAAGTCTCCCTAGAGGTGTGGAGGAGGTGTGTCGTTGAAGTGCAACGATAGTGCAAGTAAGGCCACCATTAAATACTCGTGGACGAAAGAAAAAAAGCTTCTGCTTGAGGAGGAGTGTGACCATGTGGAAGGGATTCACACTTGAGGGGGAGTGTTGGAGTTCAAGTGTGAAGTGAAGTCCCACATTGGTTAGAGTTGGGCATGTTGAGTAATATATAAGTGAGAAAGACCCACCTACCTAATGCCTTAAGGTTTTAGGTTATGTTGTGGTGTCAAGCTCACTTGTGTGACTTACTCACTACTCACTATGTGGAATGCTCCCCAGTGTTCTAAACTCCCCAACATTGGTATCAGAGCCGATGGTTCGACCAAGTGACTGGTGATCGGCTCAGACGAGTATTGGTTGGATCTAAGAGTGGGATCCTGAATGGAATTGGCAGGAGATCCAAGAGTAGGATCATCCCTTGTACTGAAAGTCTCCCTAGAGGTGTGGAGGAGGTGTGTCGTTGAAGTGCAACGATAGTGCAAGTAAGGCCACCATTAAATACTCGTGGACGAAAGAAAAAAAGCTTCTGCTTGAGGAGGAGTGTGACCATGTGGAAGGGATTCACACTTGAGGGGGAGTGTTGGAGTTCAAGTGTGAAGTGAAGTCCCACATTGGTTAGAGTTGGGCATGTTGAGTAATATATAAGTGAGAAAGACCCACCTACCTAATGCCTTAAGGTTTTAGGTTATGTTGTGGTGTCAAGCTCACTTGTGTGACTTACTCACTACTCACTATGTGGAATGCTCCCCAGTGTTCTAAACTCCCCAACATTGGTATCAGAGTCGATGGTTCGACCAAGTGACTGGTGATCGGCTCAGACGAGTATTGGTTGGATCTAAGAGTGGGATCCTGAATGGAATTGGCAGGAGATCCAAGAGTAGGATCATCCCTTGTACTGAAAGTCTCCCTAGAGGTGTGGAGGAGGTGTGTCGTTGAAGTGCAACGATAGTGCAAGTAAGGCCACCATTAAATACTCGTGGACGAAAGAAAAAAAGCTTCTGCTTGAGGAGGAGTGTGACCATGTGGAAGGGATTCACACTTGAGGGGGAGTGTTGGAGTTCAAGTGTGAAGTGAAGTCCCACATTGGTTAGAGTTGGGCATGTTGAGTAATATATAAGTGAGAAAGACCCACCTACCTAATGCCTTAAGGTTTTAGGTTATGTTGTGGTGTCAAGCTCACTTGTGTGACTTACTCACTACTCACTATGTGGAATGCTCCCCAGTGTTCTAAACTCCCCAACATTGGTATCAGAGTCGATGGTTCGACCAAGTGACTGGTGATCGGCTCAGACGAGTATTGGTTGGATCTAAGAGTGGGATCCTGAATGGAATTGGCAGGAGATCCAAGAGTAGGATCATCCCTTGTACTGAAAGTCTCCCTAGAGGTGTGGAGGAGGTGTGTCGTTGAAGTGCAACGATAGTGCAAGTAAGGCCACCATTAAATACTCGTGGACGAAAGAAAAAAAGCTTCTGCTTGAGGAGGAGTGTGACCATGTGGAAGGGATTCACACTTGAGGGGGAGTGTTGGAGTTCAAGTGTGAAGTGAAGTCCCACATTGGTTAGAGTTGGGCATGTTGAGTAATATATAAGTGAGAAAGACCCACCTACCTAATGCCTTAAGGTTTTAGGTTATGTTGTGGTGTCAAGCTCACTTGTGTGACTTACTCACTACTCACTATGTGGAATGCTCCCCAGTGTTCTAAACTCCCCAACAGCGACATGGCACCAAGAGAGTTCCGGAAATGATTGAACCATATCAAGGATAAAGTCTTTCATACCCATTTTACGGTTATTTGTTGTAGCCGAAGTTCGAAAGAGGGGAAGTAAAGAGATTAATCACTATTCCAAGCATCCTTAATTAGTTAGTGATGCATTATTACTTTCTATATTGTCACTATTTTAAAACAAAATAAGTTAATAATTTAAAAAAAAAACAAATAAATTAGTGGCGCTATGGCCTATAGCGATTTTAAAAGTGGCATTATGGTCTATAGCGACATTGTATCGCTATAGGCCATAGCGCCACTCTTATAAATAATTAAAATACATGTTTTAAAATTACGTTTTTAAACAACTTATTTTTATTTTTATAAATATATAATAAATAACTCACTTTATTATTTTTAAGTTACATTTAAATTATTTTTCTTTTTTTCTTTTTTTTCTTACATGGTGTCGCTATGGGCTACATCATTTCTGTTGGTCCATCAACTATGGTGGCCCAGCCCATAGCGACACTGATGTGGCTCAGTCCAGCCCATTTTGGGCCAAAAAAAAAATTGTCACGTGGCATGGGTGTCGCTATGGCCCATAGCGACACCGTTGTAAACAGCCCCAAAGACGTAAATATTTTCAAAAGAGCCTCATTTACGTAAATAAGTTGGTCAACGAACTCACTTTGGTCAAAAAGCTAACTAGTTTATACATGAGTGAAACATAAGGTTTTGAAAAAATTAATGAGAGATAACTTCTACAAATTAACTTAGAGCAATTTTAATGAAAAGTGTTTGTTAGCAACAATGTTTATTAGTAGGTGATTGTTTATTAGTAGGTGTTTGTTGGCGGTAATATTTACTAGAAACTCCTATTCGAACATAATAATATGACATAAAAAAAAATAACAACTCTTAAATAAGTAATTAATTTTTTATTCTTTAGATAATTCAGAGACAACACACCCACAAATAAAATAAAAATAGTCATGTATCACTAACGTTAATCCTTTTCATCCATGAATAAAAATTAGTTACCTATAATCGTTATATATATTTTTTATGGTTTATAAATAAAATAAAAATAGTCATAAATCATCAACTTTTTTTACCTACGAATAAAAATTAGTCACCTATAATCATTATATATTTTTATAGTTATAAGGTTTCTTTGTTTTTTCCTTCAAAAAAAAAAAGGTTTCTTTGTTTTAACATTTAATATTTTTTATACACATTAAATTATGTGTAAAATTTATTATTAATTTTTTATATGTTAAAATATTATTTACTATGCTTAATTAAATTAATATTTAATAATAATAATAATAATAATTTTTAAGTTGTCAAAAAACAAAGTGTAAATTAAAAAATTATAAAAGTACAAATTGCTTATAAAATCCTACCATTCAAACAAAATTTATAAAAATACCGAGTGAGTTATTTAAAAATAATGTGACATAATAAATCTTATTTAAAATAAAATAAAAATTTAATTAGTTACTTATAAAAACTGCAATTAGAAATACTTTTATATATAAATTAATTTTACCTTATAGAAAATATCTTTTCTTTTTCTATTTTTCTTTATTAGAAGTGCTTTGAGAATAATTTACTATAAACTTGGTTCTCTTTTTTCTCTTTTAAACGAGGGTATTTTTAGTCCTTTTTTCATTAAAGGAACAGTATTAAACTTTTTATAAAAAAAAAAATGTATTTACATAAATTTTAAATATAATTATACATATATATAGTTTGTTTTTGTATCTGATGGCATGCAAACAAAAAGATACCTGTATGAGCAAGAGAGGAGTGTTAAGGACATCTCCAGAGCCGGGAACATCATAAAGGAGTTCTTCCCAACATGGAAAGGGAGGTTGAAGAGCATCACCAAACTGGTTAAGAGTGACATCAGCATCAGCCTCAATGAACAAAACACCTTCTCCAGTGCAATCCACCATCAGTTTCCGACCACGCCCTTCCCTAAGCCTACCTGCAAAAGGATAGTAAAACACAAGCGTTTTCGCCACAGCCTCTCTAATCACCTCAACAGGGTCCTTCCCTTCCTGTGAAGCCTCCTTGCGATAGAACTGTATCACTGGAATTTGGAAACGAAGGCCATCTTGGTCATCTATGTCTGACAGAAGCTTCACTTCGCGAGGAGTGGGCTTCGCCGGGGCTATCAACTCTGGATCACGCCTTCGTACTGTAAACACCAGAGACGTGTCCATATCCGGTGTCAGGAAATTGAAGGGAAACAGATCTAGATGAGCTGAACAAGAATTGCTTAATGATGGGTCCTGCCACACCCAACAGCCAGCTATATTCCCTCAATGTGGAGTCCCTAACGAACAGAACATGTATATATAATGGAATGGAATGACCCACATTCGCCCATTCCTTCCGGTTGCTCTTGTCGCTGTAATATAATTGTTCATTAGTGCTGCACAGGGTCGGTCCACGCTACCAATTACGCATTTTTAAACATTCAGTAAAAAATATATACTGCTGATAAACAGTATATTATTTATACGAAATTTTAATTTTAATTTTTTTGGAAGTATTATATATGGCTAATATTTGTTCTTTTTTATTTGTCATTGATGGTGAAAGTCTGTTGCAAACTTATCACTGAAATAAGAAATTAGTCAAGTAAAAATAATAGTAATATACTCTTTTTTTTATCTTCATGAAATCATTAGTTTTGGCTTTCATTATTTTTTTAATTGTGGTCTTTAATATGTTTTAATTCTTCTTAAATTAATCCTATATTAGAATATTTTTATATTAATATTTTATTATTTAAATATTAAATTATTTTTTAATATTTTTTCATCGTGTCTTCACTTAGTGAAAATAGAGACAAATTAAAATAAAAATTCACTCGGTAAAACAAAAGTAGAAAATTATCAAAGATTCACGTCATGACTTTTCGACAATGACTTAATGACCTATAATATAAATAAATAAATAAAAATAAATAAAACACAGACAATGGCTTTTTTTTTTATTTTTTTTTTACATAACATAAACAAAGACAATGACTACTTATTGACTCGGTAATTGGTAGTCAGTCTCCTGATAAATAATAAACGTATAGAAATCGACAAATTCTTGGTCAGTAGTATACAATTAATTAGATAATTTAATTGGTAGGATTAGGACCCATCATTTTAAAAGAAATGGTCCAACTTTAATATCATGACATTTCACAATGACTTGACTTTAGTTAGTACATAGTAGGTGGTACAAAGTGAGTCTCCTCAAAAATGATAAATTAATATTAAAATTATTAATAAATGTATAAAATTGGAGAAAACCACGGTTGGTATAGTTGGACAATTGAGGATTCATTTTAAAAGAAAGTAGTATTTTTTAACATGGGTAATATGAAGTGGAAACTTCATTCTCTATGTTATTTATTATAATGTGAAAGAAAGGAGTACATAGTGCAATTTAATGGTTGAATATGTAATTTTTTTAAATAATAGAATAAAGAATTACGGGTCTGTAATTTCTCGAATAACAATGGTGAAATTTTTTAAGTTTACTAATTTTTTAATTAACTATTTTAACTCGTGTAATATATAAATATTTATTATATACAATTAAAATTTAAAATAAATTATACATAAATAAATATTATATTTAAATATATAATTTATATTTAAAATTTATATAAGTAAATAGTTTAAATATATAAATTATATTCTATATTTATGATAAATAATTTAAATTGAAAGGTAATATTATTTTTATTTACTTATAATTCATTTTAAATATTAAATTTAATTTATAAATAATTTAATAAATAAAAAATAAATAGTAAGAAATTAAAAAATTCTTAAAAAATCTATAATTAAAGAGAAACATCTAAAAATATTCTTACCTAATATATAAATTTGTATTTAATATATAGAGCATTGATTTTATGCGCTCTGATGTATAAATGTGATTTTTATTAAATTTTGTGTTTTTATTGGTTTACAATTATTTTATCTTAATTTTCCCCCCTTCTTTTACTTTAGTTAATTCTTTTACTTTACTTTTAACTATACTTTTATTTTTTGTTACTCGTTTTTCTCTCTCTCTAACATTTTAACGAAATAATAAGAAATTATAATAATTTTAATAAAACATTTATTAAATAAAAACATGTAAATTGTATAATGTTTATTTTTTTGAATAATTTAAAATATTTAGTATGATATATTTAATATTATATATATATATAAAGAGAGATGTCCTTATTTCAAGAGTAAGTCTAAATAGACTTACTTGATCAAATTTTAACTTATTCTACTTAATAATTCATGATCTACATCAAATTTTAACGATTCAATGGTTAAATCAAAAGTTTTTAATGCATGGATAAAATTTATAAATTTTTAAAAAATTTGTAGATTTGATATTTTATGCATTAAAAAATTTTAATTTAATGATTTAATTTTTAAAATTTGATAAAGTTACTTTACTGAATAACATGGTGTATGTTTAATTTTAACGATCTAATCTTTAAATTAAAAATTCTTAATATATAAATTAAATTTATATTATAAATTTAAAAAAAATTAAAAATTATATGATACTTTGTTATATATATTCAAATCAATGTATAAAATATTTTTATAATTATTCATTAATTTAAATTAATAAAATGATGTATCAAATAATTTTTAAATTTTGTAAACTTAATTTATATATTAAATTTTTTAAATTTAAATATATGTCATAAGTTAATAAATAAAATAACTTTACATCACTCTTAAAATAATTTAATCCTTTTTCACGCACACATATTTATATATATGTATATATATAATAAAAATATAATATGAAAAAGATATGAAAAATGCTATTTCTTAAAAAAAATTAAGCTAAGGAGTCTCCAAACCATAAAAGTTTAAAACATTTCAACTGATTTCATTCAAGAATATTCATTTTGATAAATATCAAATTTTGTTCAATCCAAAAATATTTCAGACGCTTCATTTTGAATATTCAAGCATTTATCAAAAGATATATATCTTGGCCAATTATTAACGTCAAATTGTTCATGGAATATAATATACAATTTTTAGCCCAAAACGACAAATTGATATTTGTTACAAAAGCAGCAATAGGCCCACTTCTTCCAACTTTGTAAAGTATTCTTGTACTCCTGTTTCCTCGAAAATTTCAAAAGCCTAGATAACGATGAGTATCCATAGGCATGTCACATGTAGTGGGGTTGGTGGAGAATGGAAGAAGCGACTTTATATATACATATATACGAGGGTTATACTGGTTTAATTTTTATTAAGTATTATATTATTTAATAATTTTATATTAAATATAAATTTTGTAAATTTAATAGTTAAATTGAAAGTTTTTTACTCTTAAATTATATATATACAAAATTTTATATTAATTCATGATGATTTGATACTTATTTGTATAAAATAAAATTGACGTAATATATTCATTTTAAAATATACTAAAATATGAACATTTTGATTATTTTCAAGTTGTTTTCAATTTCAACAAAATTTGATATAAATATAAAGTGATATGAACTTTTAATCTAACGGTTGAATTTATAAAATTCACATTTAATATAAAGTTATTGAGCGGTAAAATACTTAGTAAAAGTTATATCGGTATTATTATAACCCTCCTTATATATATATATATATATATATATATATATATATATATTTTTTTTTATTTTTTTT